AGTATCCATTGCCCCTGGTTTAAATTTAGAATCATAAGTCAGCCAGCTCAAAATTTTGATTTCCCTCTCTAAATTGTATTTCCTAATCACTGTAAACCAGATTTCCAGAGTGAATCATGTAATTGGATCAAGCATATTCTTATATTTTTTAAACATGTCCCTGTTTGCAATCATACTTTGGATATGGTAACCCTCTCTTTTTAATTCAATATCTTTCCATCCTGCAGTATACTCAGGATCACACCAATACACCAAAGGTCGAATCTGTGCGGCATAATAATATTCTGAGAGGTTTGGTAAGGCTAACCCGCCCCTGTCCCTAGGAATCTGAAGAGTTGCGTACTTTATCCTTGGCCTTTTTCCCCCCCAAATGAAACATGAGATTCTTTTGTTCCATTCTTTGAATTGTGATATGGGAATTTCTATTGGTAATGATTGAAACAAATGTAAAATTCTCAGTAACACATTCATCTTTATGATTTCTATTCTAGAGCTGAAATCCAATGTTAGTGCCGACCATCTTTCCATATCTTTTTGAATGTCTTGATTTAGAGTCCCATAATTAATTTTGTACAGTTTTGTTAAGTTTCTACTAATAATTACACCTAGGTATTTTTTTTTTTGCTTCCCATTTGAATTTATATGCTTGTTGAGTGACTTGGGGTGGGGTATAGTTTATGGGTAGTACCTGTGTTTTTGTCACATTGAGTTTATAACCTCACAAGTAATAAAATGAATCCAGTCTTTCCATAAGTCTTGGAAGACAAACATCCAGTTGTTTTAGACTGATCATAACATCATCTGCAAAAAGCCCGATTTTATGTTCTGTGCCCTTCACCTCTATCCCCGCTATACCTTCATCTTCTCTTATTGTTTGGGCCAAAGGCTCGATGAAAATCGCAAAGAGAGTTGGTGATAAGCAACAGCCCTGTCTGGTAGATCTCTCCAGTTTGAACCAGTTAGTGAGACTGCCATTTATTTTAATTCTAGCCTTTGGGTCTTGATATAGTGTTTTAATAATGTTAACTGAGTCCGTATTTAAACCAAATTTTTCTAAAGTAAGGTATAAAAATTTCCAACTAACGCTATCGGAAACTTTTTCTGCGACCAAGCTGAGCAGCAGTGCACTTTCTCCATTTTATTGTACTTCTTCAACTATATGTAAAGTCCTCCTTATATTATCCTGTGTTTGGCGTCCCTTAATAAAGCCACATTGATCTTCGTTAATTAGTTCTATCATAAAAGTTTTGAGTCTCTAAGCTAGGATGGACCCAATTCCTTTTTAAACATTTTGTACCATTCAGCCGGGAAGCCGTCGCTCCCCGGGGATTTATTTGATTTTAATTTATTAATGGCTTCTTCCAATTCCTTTGCTGTGATATATGAATTTATACATTTGTTTTGTTTCTCTCCTATTGTTGGTAGATCTAATGAACTTAAAAAGTTTGTTATTAATTCCTCATCTGCTGAGTCCGGTTGAGTATACAGCTTTTTGTAATACTTTTTAAATACTTTTTCTATTTTTCCTGGTTCAAATTCTAGTGAATTGGTTGTGGGATCTCTGATTTTATGGATTGTATTCATGAGTTACTGTTTCCTTATTCGCCTAGCTAGTAATTTTGTAGCTTTGGATCCTGATTCGTAGTAAGTCTGCTTCAGAAGTCTAGATTTCTTTTCCACTTCGTCTCCTAGTATCTCATTCACTTTTGTCTTCACTTCCTTGATTTGTTGAAGTAAACTTGCATCAATTAAGTCTTTATGTTGTTGCTCTAATTTTTTAAGTCTGATATATGTCTGATATAATTTCAGTTTATCTTTCTTGTTGTATGCTGCTTGAGATATTAGTTTTCCCTGCATAACTGCTTTCATGACATCCCAGAGAGTAGTACAATCTACCTCCCCATTGTCGTTCTCTTTCCTGTATGTATTTATTTCTGTTTTGATCTCCTCAACAAATCCTGGATTATTTAGTACACTAACATTCATTCTCCATACAGTATTCCTTTTCCTGCTGCTCATATTTAGTGTCAGGTGGAGAATACAATGATCTGATATTTCTGCTACTCCAATCTTACAACCTTCTATTCTAAATCCATTGGCTATATTCATGAAAAAATAATCTATCAGTATAGACTGATCGAGGAGCTGAATGTGAAGTCCCTCTGGAATGGATGTAGTTCCCTCCAAACATCTGAAATTCCTAGCTCTGTTAATACAGTATTTAAGTATCAGGACACTTGAATTTTGCTACTTTTCTTTGTACTAGTTGTGTCCAAATCCTGATTCAGTGTAATGTTAAAGTCCCCTCCACATATCAGTATCCCTTCTATTTCTTGAACAACAACTTCAAATAAATTCTTGAAAAAACTCTTATCACTGTCCGGAGGTGCATAGACATTGACGAGTGTAACTAGTTGATTTTCAATTTTCCCCTTAACCAGACTGTATCTTCCTTCTTTATCTTTCATTTCCTTTAAAGTCTCAAATTTTATTGCATTTGAAATTAAAATCATTACCCCTGTTTTCCTCCCATTTTTGTATGAGCTATAGTATGTATTTTTAAATCCCAATTTTTAATATTTTTCATGCTCCTGAGCCGATAAATGTGTTTCTTGTAGAAAACTAACCTGTGATCCTTCTTTTTTCAGTTTTGCTATGACCTTCCCTCTTTTCATTGGGTTATTTAACCCGTTCACATTCAGAGACATCACTTAAAGTTGGCTATGTTGCATCTCCTCCTTTCTTTAGGTTTTCCCTTTCTCTCCACTGACACCTGCAGTTCTAACACCTGAACTCGAACTCCAAAACAATGCTTCCGATAACAACGGGCCTCTTTAATCATGCCCGTGCCCCTGTTGGAAGGAGAGGGAAAGGTCCCCAGTAATGGTGGGGCCCCTCACTAGAGGTGAACAGAGTTTCTGCATAGAGTCCCCCTTGCCTTCTAGTAGTGTCCAACATTTCTCTGCATTCCCACTCTACCAGTCTGAATAGAACATATGAAAAGCCTAGTAGTGGGAGGCAAGCTATAGCCTAGTATACAAACTCTGTATTTAACAATAAGTAAATGGATAAACAATGATTATCTCCTGGGGTATTGCAATGACTTAGTCTCTTTTTCCCATCCTTTTTCCCCCAACCCTGACATTATCTTAAGGATGAATTACCACAAAGCCATTCTCTGTATTTATGAACAAAAATGTATAAATTAATATAAAAGCCAATAATAAAAATAATGTCTTTCCCCTACCCTTTTCTATCTCATACGCCTGTTCATTAACATGTCGTACTATACAGTTAATATATGATCGTGATTCATACTTATTTTAAGATGAATCCTTATTCATGTCTGCATCTCCTATTTAAATCAGATGCTATTTCCATCTTCGGCTCTCGCGCGTTGAGTTAATCCACCATGTGCCCATGGTCCGCCGACGTGTTGCCACCGCGATGCCACCTGTATCCGCTCCTCCATCGTGCTCCGCTCGTCAGCTTCCCTCATCTGTACATCCATTCCCCTTTTCCTCATCTCTTTAGCTGTCTCTTGCGCGCTGTTGTACAGCTGAGGTCCGTCGGACCAGTGGATTCTGATCCTGGTGGTGTTTGGAACCGGATGCCTTTAGCCTTGAGGGTCTTTTTGATCTCCATATAGGCTCTGCGTTTCTGTTCCACCTCGGCCGCGTAATCGTTGTCAAAGAACAGGGGTGTGTTGCCAAGCTTATCCCGTTTTTGCCAGGCTTTCCTTAATATCATCTCCTTGGTGTCAAACTGGAGAAAGTTTATGATTATAGACCGTGGAGTCTCAGCTGGACCGGGTCTCCTCACTGCCGCTCGGTGTGCTCGTTGAATTAGCAGGTTGGTCCCCTCTGGTAGAGTTAGCTCTCTCTGTAGCAACTCCTCAACAAAACAGATGACCGAGTCCCCCTCCGAGCCCTCCGGGACTCCAAATATCCGCACGTTGTTCTTCCTGGATCTTCCCTCAAGGTCAGTTAGCTTTTCCTGTAGCTTTCTCTGCTCACGAAGGGTTGTCAACAGAGCGTCTTTAGCTTCCATGTTGAATGTCTCGAGTTCCTCGATGCGTGTTTGTGCCTCATCGAGACTTTTCTTCTCCTGTAGTTCGTCACTGTTTGCCTTAAGCTTGTTGTTGACGTCATCTTTAAAATTGGCAAACTCTTGTTTAAAGCTCGTGTTGAGGGCCGTTATGTCATTTTTCATTTCTTCTTTGAGTTCACGGATTTCTTTAGTGATGTCCGTCAAACATTTGTACAGTGCTGGCGTATCGTCTTTGGCTGATGCTCCGCCGCCATTCCCCGCTGCTTCACTGCTTGCCTCCATCACGAAACTCTGCTTTTTTTCCTGTGTTTTCTGATTTTTTCGGCTTTTCTGACGGGTTCCCCTACTCATCCCACGTAATATCTATTTGAATTCGGTTTACCGTTAATTGGGGGGTTTTATTTGTCTTCGACTGGTAGGAGCGACGAACTACGCCGCCATTCCTCTCATCGCTCCACCGGAAGTCCCCAACAAATTGTTTTTCAAAGGACAGATTACATTATTTTGAAACACTATCTTTGTAACCAATAATGGGTCAGGAGCTTCTATAAAGAACACGTTTCATATCTATTTCCAGTTCCTGATATGTAACCAATGCAATATGCTCCTTTTCTGTTCATGGTCAATGATCCAGTGGTCTTATACCTCATAGAACAGGAATTTGCTCTCACTTGACTTTTTTCTCAAAAAAAACAATTTAAATGCCTTGGGAGTGCTGGAAATGTGAAGCATGTTGTGTGCGCTTGACTTGTCTAACGTGCCTGAGTGCCTGGTACAGTAAACTGGCTGCCAATTCAACTAAGGCCATTGTCTCAACCTGAATGTTGTTGCCCTTTTTCTCTCCATCTTTACCTTTCTCTCCCTCTCTGTCTCGATTTCTCTCTCTGTCTCTCTTTTTTATCTCTCTTACCCTCCATCCCCCCTTTCTTCTCTGTATCTCTACCACACAGGAGGCCATTATAACAGGTCTGCTCCCAGAGACTATGTACTCTGTGACTGTGGCTGCATACACCACCAAGGGCGATGGAGCTCGCAGCAAGGCCAAGGTGGTCACCACCACAGGAGCAGGTGTGTGCTGTTTGTAGATTAATCTACCTGTTAGGCAACACATTTTGAAACAAATTTGTTTGCCATGTTTGTTCCTCATTATGTACACTTAGAGTTTGATTATACCAGAATCTCACATTCACTGGTCACCTGTGATAAGACCAATCATGTCAAGCCATGTTTCCATCAACATATTTTATGTGCAAGTGTCGCATTAGCATTTTGCCTTCTTCACTCTGAGGTCTGATGGAACCTTCCTCACATTAATACATGAACAAAACAGAAAAGTCATATTTCTATCCTGTTTCCTGCATTCTTTTTCACCGTTTGAACTTCCACTGGCAGTCTTTATTACATAATTTTGTTGTGCCTTCTTCTTCTGGTTTACTGACTGGAGAATTGGTACTGCTTATCTCAATGAACCAATTCCTAATAATCACATAACAGTAGTGGATGGAAACGACGATTAATTTGCATTTCTTTTGCTGATTTACTCAAAATTTGGTTAATTTGGCGATACATTTGGATGGAAACATGGCTGGTTTAAAACCAAAAAGGTTTTGCTTTAAATATGATAACACTGTACTCACCAAAGTAATTTCTGAGATCTCAGAATAGCATTAAAGGATACAGACCACATTCCTGGTTCAGGTACTTGCCCCAAGTGTTTGCACACAGTATTCCTGTGCAATGAGGGATTGTTTGCAGCGTTATGTGGTAACTAATCTGGTAAAACTTTAGGCTAGTTTAAAAGCTGTATGATTGTCTAAGTGTTTGTGTTTGTTGCCATGTCTGACCTATTTTCAAAAGATGTCACTATTTTCCAAGCAGTGTTGGGCATTACTAGTACAAATATTATATTAATGATATTACTATCCCAGTAACCAGTAGTGTAACTTAGTTAGTTAATAGTGTAATTACTAATACATTTCAGTAATAATATAATTAGTTATTACTTTACATTACTTTTGTTGTCAGCCCCGTTCTGATTTGAAATCCAACCATTCAATCTTTGGTTACTTTGATTTTAACAAACAAAAGTGGATTATAATCATTGTAAGTCAGATTTTTGGGGAGAAGAAACACAATTACCAATTTTGTGGGGAGTAGCAGAACAGTAATATAACTACAGAGTAGTGTAACTAATTACTGTTGTCAGGGAGTAATAAGTAAAGTAATAGTATTATTTTTGAAAAGAGTAATTCTTAAAAAATTTAATTTGCTAGTAACTAGCCGAACACTGGTTCTGAGATCTAAGCAGTTAAATGGTAGGTACAATGTATGTAGCCAATATCGTAACCTTGTAATTATGAGAAAAAGCTGTACAGCTGATAAGTACTACAATGAGAAATAATGCTGCAGTCAAAGCAGGGCCAGGAAACAACAGCTGTATAGCCTCTGAAATAGGATGTCAATGTCTTTGTGTTTTGTGTTCCATGAATTTGTTCAAGTTCAAGTACTTAAGATATGGGAATGTTTCCTGTCTTTCAGTGCCTGGCAAACCTACCATGATGATCAGCACCACCATAGGGAACACTGCCCTGATCCAGTGGCAGCCCCCTAAGGAGATAGTGGGTGAGCATGTGGGATACCAGCTGCAGTACAAAAGAGCAGAGGAGGGAGCTTTCATTGTTAAAGACTTCAGACAGACAGATGATCATTTCACAGTCACTGGCCTCCACAAGGGAGCCACCTACATTTTCAAATTGTGCTCCAAAAACCGAGCAGGCAACGGAGAGGAGTATGTAAAGGAGATCAGCACACCTGAAGACATTCCCAGCAGCTACCCCCAGAATCTGAGTGTGGTAGGCCTGACCGCCACCTCCACTAAGCTGGCCTGGGACCCCCCTCCTCTGGCCGAGAGGAACGGGAAGATTGTGAAGTACGTGGTGGTGTATCGAGATATCAACAGCCAGCACAACAGCACCAACACTACCACGGAAACACAGATGACCGTCCAAGGTTTGCAGCCTGACACAACCTACGACATCAGAGTCCAAGCTTTCACCAGCAAGGGGGGAGGACCCATAAGCCCCAGCATTCAGAGCAGAACCATGTCTGCCTCTATGCCAGGTGAGGCTATTTATCAGTACTGCTTTGTGCTTGTAGACAGCTTACTGTAGCTGTATCTGACCTCAGTCCTCCACACACAACTCTATAATTGGGTGCAAACACAAACAAAATCTCCAGGCACACACACGGGTGTGACCAGCACTTTTTTGCAGTTTTGGCAAGCTTCTGTAATGACCAAATCACATGACAGAAAATAGTTCCAAGTCCCCATAAAAAAAAAAAACCTTACATGTTTGAACTAAAATATAAATATATAAGATGAACTTCCATTGTGAATATTAATGAATACATAAAGACTCAGAAAACTTGCTGTCATAATCCTCTTAATATGACATATTGTGACTCTGCAGAGTTAGGGTATAATGAGTGAAAATAATCAAAAATGTCCTGATGGATTTGATGGATCTCATCCTGAGGACAGTCACGTTCCTGCAGATGATTTTACTGTTAAACTTGGAATCTATGAAAACCTGGAAATATAGAGACTAGTTTTCCAGTCATGCAAACACCTAGAAATTGATATCTTTCTTCTTCTTATCTTCTCCTTGAAATATTTTATGCAACCTGGGTGCATATGTTGTTTCAAACTCAACTGTTGTTAAGACTTTTGGCGTGAAGTCTATTTTGGAAATGTCATATCTACATGCATACAGCCTGTTATTAATGATCAAATTTACATTTGTTGTTGTGGTTGATAATTGTTAGTTGTACATGCAACAAACAGTTACACTTTCCACCTCTTCTTTTAAAAAGCTAGGTGACAAGATACATTTTATGTCAAATAAATTCTGCTTGATTTGAGCTGTTCTGGCTAAATTAATGTTTTGGTTAGAGGAAAACGTGTGTGCTATGACACACTGCCCCATAAACATTGACCACCACTGTGAGCATGTGCTGTCCTGTATTGTCAAGAAAAAAGCTTCTGGATCCTGGAAAAAGTCCTGGATAAAAAACACAGAGTATTATTTACTGTTGGATCCTGGCCAATCCAAATCAAAATAATTAATGAAGTTGCTGCTGCTGTGTCATCCTTTAAATTTACACACAGCCACTCACTGTGTCAGCCACTCACTGTGTCAGCCACTCAAATCAGAGACTGTAGATGAAACACAAATCTTTCCTGCTGCTGTGTGATGACTACCGGCATTTAATCAACAGCATGGAAAGATCTGACATTTTACAAGTTGTTGTTGGAAATTCACTCATCAAACAGAACACACACCCTGAAATACACTCATGTGGATGATATTATTGGTAAGACTCTTCCTCGATCAAAAATTGCCTTTTGATGCACATATTAATATGCAATTGATGTGGAAAAAAAGATTAGCAAATTGAAAGAGGCCAAACTTTTGTGGTTTTGAAGAGGGCTGTGTGTATGCCTCTGCCCACTTAAGCCACCAAAATTTGCCCTGCATCTGTTGTAAGAGGTGGTCTGAGTGGGTTTAAATGCAAACACAATTTCGTGCCAAAATGAGCACCAAAATTGCAGTGCGCTACCTAATCAGCAAAATCAAACCCTCAGCTGCGCCTTTTCTCCCACCTTGGTACAAATTTAAAAACAGGTGCAGACATAAAAAAAACACACTAGTGCTGGAGGAAATCGCATAAAAACTGTGTTTGCCCAACTGCTGCCTCTGTGTCGACAGGAAAATAGAGCCCCAAGCCTTTCCTATGGATTATCTAAACATGTGTTTTTACCTGTCATTCTGCAGCAGGTTGCATCTTCATTGTTTTTGTTTTTTTTGTGATCTTACCAATGTGTGTACAGCATTTAAATTCAATGTTTCCATAGACTGTAACTGCAGCCTGAGTTAGCCCCATCTAGGACTCCCGTACACTGCAGGGGAGACATAGATGCTTCCAAAAGAAAAGTTTAGCGAAGTGCCTGTACAGTGCTCAGTAAACCATACATTCATTTGCATTTCAGATAAAGCTTGCATTTCACTTTTTTGTTGATTGTCTCAGCAAGTTCCTGTAGGCTGGGCTTTCTCTATTGCCGCAAGGGGCAGCAAAAACTAAGGTTTTCTAGAATGGATTTACATGCTTCAATGTAAAAAAACAACAAAACAAAAAATCTTCCTTATACTGTATATTGCTGCAAGTACAAGTCAGGGAGGGAACCTGCAACACTGTTCTCTGTTTAAACAGATTTAAGAGATGAAGGGAAATGAACTCATTCATGGCACGCTTTTTAAATAGCATATTTTTAATCTTTGGGTTCGTGGGAAGGTATTGAGTGTTTTCACGTCAGAAGTCATACATTCATATAATCATACTTTTCATGTACGAAAAAATTACACTAAGAATATATAATACATAGCTTATTTCTATTCTGGTTCTTTTGTTCATTTGTTAGTTAGTTGAATTAGTATTAGGTCACATGTAACTTTCTTGCTTTTGTGCACCACCTCTTCAACTTTGAATCATCTCAGTCATATCTGCAATTGAATTAACCACCTAATAATCATCTAGACCTTCCCTCAGTATTCACCAAGAACTTTGGTGTGAAGGCTGTGATGAAAACCTCTGTCCTGCTGACCTGGGAAGTGCCAGAAACCTACAAATCTCAAGTGCCTCTTAAGGTAAGATCAGACAGCAGCAGCGAAACAGACAATACAGCTACAGCTGAAGTTACTCTAACAACTATAGTGAATTAACTTATTTGCTGATAATCTAGGACCAAGTAGTCAATGTTTGTGAACATCAATGAATATGGCTAGGCAGTAGAGACCAAAGAACAAAGACTAGGGTCTGATTTTATATTCGAGGACCATCTCAAACTGCTTCTCAGACAATACAAGTGCTGCAGGAATGAGTCCTAATATCCATAGCTGAGTTAGCATTTTGTCACTTCTGGTTCCTTGTCCTCAAAGTCAATCTTTTTTTTAATGGTTTGCTGTTATATGTTATATATGTTTTTACTTCTGGTGATTACAATTATTCTTCAAAAATCATAAAGGCGGGCCTTATTTGTAAAGATTATCTTGCTGAACAAAACGTGTAAGTAAAATCTTTCTTCACCACAATTTATTTTTTGCAATTATCCAAAATCGAATGGATTTTTGTTGAAGGAACCAGGGCGATGCTAACTTCCAGGTTGGCCTACAAAATTATGTCCTCCCTGCAGCACTCTGTATGGATCACTATCGATGTACAATGAAGAGTAACCATAGAGACGGACTTATCATCAAATAATACAAAAGAGCACCTGAAATAGCACTGAATAGAAGGAAACACATCCACAGGTTGTGGTTTGATGGGTTGTTTGGTCGGTATAAAATATAAAATAAATGTTATTGTAGTGTAGGAACTGCATACTCAAACAGGAAGAGGAATCACTGACACAACATAATGCAATGACTATAATAACTGAATTTTTTTTATATTTATGTTATTTAAAGATGCACACTCACCAAAGTACACACATTGTGAAACTTTTTGCTCTTTTTTTCCACCTTAACAGAACAGCTGCTCAATAAACCATCATGAAAAATCAATTCACACCATATTAAATTCTGTCTTGTCACACACAAAGGTTTATGAATGTACTTTAAAAAGTACATTTAGCACAGAGATATAAGAGTGGTACCAATCTTATTATCTTAACTCTTGACAAGAAAGGGAATAAGCGTATTTCCCACAATTTTGAACTATACCCATAGGTCAGAGGCTCAAAGAGACGAAATAATAGTGCAAGGGGGGAAATCATTAATGTCTCACTTTATGCTGATTATATTCACCTTTATTAATACATGTTTCCAAGGCATAAACATTTAAATGTTATCGAACTTTATTACTTATTCCATAATTGTTTTTTTGTGAAGGTAATTTAGAATCAGTTCTGATTCTCAGTATCAGTATAGTAAAGATTAAGCGATCAGTCAAACGGTATCAGTAAGAAACTTGGTCCTGTCTTCAGATCCTGTACAACCAGCAGAGTGTGGAGGTCCCAGGCAACCTAAAGAGGAAGTTGATCACACAGCTGCAGCCAGATACTGATTATTCCTTTGTGCTAATGAGCCGAGGGAACAGTGCAGGTGGCCTTCAGCAGCAAGTTTCCATCCGAACAGCTCCAGACCTGCTGAAGATGAAACCAATTCAATACCAACACGATATGGAGGAGGGTGGTAAAGTGACCATCAGTCTTCCCAGGGCCCCTGCTGGTGCACCCATCAGGTTTGTGCTGTTTGTTTGTCTTTCTGAGGGGAAACCATACTGACTGAAAAATAAGGCTGAGTCATGATTTCTGAGATGGCTCTGAAATGTCTCCTCTGCACATATTAGTTTGATTTTAACATCATGGAAAGAAATTGAGGCTGGCTTTGTGTGGAGGCAAATAATAGTCATGGCAATTTGAATATGTGTGTGTAAAATTTAAGCACTACTGATTTCTTAGTACTGAAATGTAGGTAGCACTGAATTTAACGTATTGCAATGTCATTTTATGTTATAATTATTAATAATTTTGAGTTGTTGCTTTTGTTTGTCTTATGGTGTATTATATTATCTTAATTCTATGATATTTATTATATCACAGAAACATATCTGGCTCTTGAGCTAAATGCTCCACCGTGTTCACCAGCTAATCACCAGGGTTAGTCTGTACTTTTTGTTTTTATTTAAAACAGCTGCCTACTGGGACTGGAAAGTTATGAGAGTGGTGAGCCTGAAACAAAGCAGTTATGTTGAGGGTCGAAAACCACAACAATGAGCTAAAAGACACTAAAAAGCTCTGTAGAGCTAATGGAAACTGAACAGATATTGATAATTCTCTGTAGGTTTGTCTCTAAAGGCGGGACCTTCTACATGACACATAGTCATTTGATTCATTGTTAATATGAAAATATTGTTTAGTGCAGCTTTAAGCACAGTTAGCTTAATTATATGCCAATACTATATTTGAAGTCCAGTATATGACTCTGACAAACCCTTTGTAGTTGAGTAGTGTTGAGTATCAAACGTCCAGTGTGTAACATTTAGGAGGATCTATTGGCAGTAATGGAATATAACATGCATAACACAAGTACTGTGCCACTTAGAGGTACCTGTATGGAGCTATTATTGTAGCAAAACTACTTAGAAATGTGTGTGGAGAGTTGTGTAACTGCATCTCAGTCTGTATGTGCATAATCATATCTGTGAATGTGTAAAATAATCTGTGAATATGTACTGAGATTTGTGAATGTGTACAAGAATCTGCAAATGTGTGTTTAGAATCCCTGTGATCAGATTTGTGTAATCCAATCAGTGCAGACTTAGACAAAAGTCTAAGTATTTGCTCAAAGAGCTGGAAATACAGACAAATCATCGGTTACAACTCAGGCGGGACTTAGATCTGTGTGTGTGTGTGTGTGTGTGTGGAGAGATTTGTCTGTGTGCCTCAGCAGCTATACAGTCTACAGATCAGCAGTCGGCGGATCTCCACACGCATTAACAGATCTGCCACGGTAGAAGTGTAGCAAAAGTCGCGTGTAAAATGGCAGCCAATTAAGAGTCCCGCCTGAGTTTTAACCAATGTTTTGTCTGTATTTCCAGCTATTTGAGCCAAAACAAAGTCTGCGCTTACTGTTTTGGCTACACATTTACAGATTTGTCCACATGTGTACATATATCCTTACACTTACAGATTTGTAGATCTTTTACACATTTACATATCTGATTACACACACACATATTGAGATACAGTTAAACAACTCATAGATTAAACTACCCAACAGTATATAAAATACTAGTAGTAATGTTACACCCCAACTAGCTGCAACATTAAAATGCACCTTATATGTCATTCATTAATAGTAATAATAATAATAATAATAATACAATAATATAACATTTTGATAACATAATGAGTATTTTTACTTTTGATACTTTACGTACATTTTGTTGATAATACTGAACTTTTACCCAGTTACGTTATTTAGAGAGAGGTTTTTCATACTGCACGTAGCCCAGTGCTGAAAGCATTCTTAGAACCTAGGCTAAGGGAGCTGTTAGCCCAAGGTTAAGGGAGCACTGGCACAATCCTGACACATTCTAACCCCGACTCTAGCTAGGGTTTATCAGCCCTGCTCCGCAGCAGGGTTAGCCAAGAGTTTGCAGGGTTATCCCCTGATAATCAACCAAACACAGGTAAAAGGTGCCAGTATGAAAAGGGGCCAAAGTAAACAGAATGTACGCATACATGTAAACATTAGTCGCATGTTCCAACTGACATTTAACCTGGGCCTAGTAGAAGTGCAGTGTGGATCATATTGCTCAGCAGCCCAGTGAAGTCGAGTGGAGACACACAAAGACAATGTTTTTTGTGTTAAATCAATAGCAGAGACACAGGCTGGTCTGCAGGGGAGGGGGCATTATAAGTCTGGTTTATTTACTTTTTTACTTATTTACTATTTACCTGTTCTAGCAAGTTCATAACCAACCAATTATCAACTGCAGCATAGAGTTCTTTTAGGTCAGAATACTTTCAAGAGCAAACAAAACATTTAGTCTCACAACCCAGCAATGCCATGATTACAACCTATAACCACACAGCCGTATTAACATAACCCCACTGCCACTCCTGAGCTCTCTCCTGATACCAGAAAGCAATTTATTTAAGAGTTGAGCTTTAAAACCACAATTGATCAGCCAAGAGAATCCCAATGCAAAGGCTGCAATTTAGTAAAAGGTAATTTTTTTATCATTATCCAGCACGGTCAAGAAGACAGGCCCCTGCAAATTACTCAGACTTAATTGTGTTTCAAGTGTTTGTTTCTCTGAAGAAATCACCCACAAGTAAGTTGTAATAAGAGAAGTGGGGCTGATGGAGAAAAAAACTGAAATTAATACCATCTCTATATGAAGACCTTTCATCCGTCCCAGAGCCATACTTATGCCCTTGGTGTTTAGGAACGGGGATGAGATGTGAAATTTAAGAAGTTTAGAAGAAATATAAAGAAAAGTTGACTGAAATGAAATATAATTCACATTAAAGCTCTGTGTTTTGTGTGTGATATTGTTGTGTTTCTGTGTTTGATACAGATGGTACTACATAGTGGTTGTCCCTGTCACCCCGGCTTCTCTGAGGAGATGGGAGAACCCTGAAGACATGGACATACATGAGGTGAGTGTACGTGTACTACATTAGTAAAGGGGAAAAAGTTTGTTCAGGAACTCAACTCTCATTTGGGCAGTACCTAAAGGTGCTCCCAAAAAGTGGTTCAATTTCAATTCAATTTTATTTGTATAGCGCCAATTCATAACAGAAGTTATCTCAGGACACTTTTCAAATAGAGCAGGTCTAGACCGAACTCCTTATAACATTATTTACAGAGACCCAACAGTACCACCATGAGCAAGCACTTGGCGACAAGGGCAAGGAAAAACTGCCTGTTAAAAGGCAGAAACCTAGGACAGATCCTTCGGCTCTAGGTGGGTGGTCGTCTGTCTCGACCAGTTGGCGTGAGAGAGAGAGAGAGAGAGAGAGAGAGAGAGAGAGAGACAGACAGACAGACAGACAGACAGACAGACAACAGTAGCAACAACTACACTAATAGTAGTGACTGATGATGATGAACATGACAACAGCAACGATTGGGGACAATGAGCAGTGACAACAGTAATAATAGTAACTGTAGCTATAATACTTATAATAATAATAATAATAATAATAATATCAGTAATATCGGCAATGGCAATCTAGCAGGACCATGGCAGGAGGCTCCACCAGGATCCATGAGAACCTGCGAGACGAGAAACCACAAGAACTCCGGGGAAGAAGTGAAGTTAGTAACATGCATTAATGGAACATGAATGACTGCAGAAAGAGAGAGGAAGAGAGGAGCTTAGTGCACCATGGGAAATCCCCCGATAGTCTAGGCCTATAGCAGCATAACTAAGGGATGGTTCAGGACTCACCTGATCCAGCCCTAACTATAAGCTTTATCAAAGAGGAATGTCTTAAGCCTACTCTTGAATGTGGAGAGGGTGTCTGCCTCCCGAACCACAACTGGAAGCTGGTTCCACAGGAGAGGAGCTTGGTAACTGAAGGCTCTGGCTCCTGTTCTACTTTTAGAGACTATAGGAACCACAAGTAGCCCTGCATTCAGAGAACGTAGTGTTCTAGAAGGGTAATAGGGTACTATGAGCTCTTTAAGATAAGAAGGAGCCTGACCATGAAGAGCTTTATAGGTGAAGAGGAGGATTTTAAATTCTATTCTACATTTTACAGGGAGCCAGTGCAGAGAAGCTAGTACAGGAGAGATGTGATCTCTTTTTCCTAGTTCCTGTCAGTACTCGTGCTGCAGCGTTCTGAATTAATTGGAGAAGTGAAGTGCAGCAAAAGTCGACAAGATTATCAATTTCAGAGGGACTAAAGTTGTTATAGGACTCTGTTAAATTCAGACGTAGCATTGAATTAAACACTGATGGAATCTTCTCCTTAAATTTAGCTACAGCTAGACATCAGCAGTCAGATAGACATCTGCTGTAGGAAGTTTTGCCTAATGGCTTATAATCTAATCTAAGTATGAATTCAAAAGTTATTAAATAATGGTCAGATACAAAAGGATTATGTGGGAAGACTATTAAATGTTCAATATCAATGCCATATGATAGAACAAGGTCAAGAGTTTGATCAAAACAATGAGTTGGTTTATTTACACTCTGACAGAAGCCAATTGAGTCTATTAATGATATAAATGCATTACTAAGGCTGTCATTGTCAACATCCACATGAATATTAAAATCACCTACAATAATTACTTTATCTGATTTAAGGACTAAACTTGATAGAAACTCTGAGAATTCAGATATAAAATCAGAGTACGGTCCAGGAGTGCGGTACACTATAACAAATAGAACTGGCTGCAGTGTCATTCCATTTTCAGATTAAGACTTGGTTTTCGGTAAAGGTCGAGGTTTGGGTTAATAAGTTACTTTTATAATTCTGGGGGGAAAAAAACTATTGTCGTTTTAATTAAGAAGTCTGGCAACAGTTAGCATTTTTCCATTAGTGTGTGAGCAACTGTGATCTGATTTTATGCTGCTTGTTATATATTATATATATTCATTGCACACAACAATATGAAATGATTGGATGGGACAAACAACATACTGATGAATTAACTATTCTTATAACCTTGCTGTTAGGGGACTGAGAATATAATGTTTGATCTCAGGCTGATGTCCAGAAGAGGAGTTACCAAATAGACCTTTTTTTCCTTTTAAACATGATATATTAGGATAAACAGAAGTGTTACCAGTGATACTGATTAAGGTACCATTCAGGTCAAACAGAGTCAGGGTGCTGCTTTTGTGAATGCTAGCTCACTGTAAAGGCTCTGCTACACCAAATGGAACGTAACCTTAATTAGTGTCAATAGTAACACCTGTGTTTACCCTACTATTTTATTGTCGAAATGGCTCAATCTGCTCAATAGATATTCATATTGGTGGGCCAATACCTAGTAGAGTAAGCCAAATGCAGGATCCCCAAGCTCCAGGATTGTACCTCTAGGGAGCATTAATATCAACAAGAAATTTCATGACATTCTGGCTGAGTTACAAAAGTGGTGATAAAGGGGATGTTTTTACATAAACTAAACAAATTGTCATGCAGTCAATCACCCCTTTGGGACCATGAATATCCATGTCAAATGACAATATATCCTGACTGACGGTACTTCTAAGTACTTGTTTTACAGAAATACTACTATCGAGTGAATACAGAGATGCTGGGCTGAATTTGTCAGTTGATCAGATTTGGCTGTTCAGTATTAAGATATGATTTTTTCAGTTCTGTGCCACACTAAAGTCCTATATCATGTTCAGTTATAAAATCCCACAGCCACCACAGAGCATCTCCGCAGCCGGGCTGCCGACAGCGCTGTAAGCCCAAGAGTCAATCGCAGTAGACAGCAGTGGAGGAGGTTGGACCACTGTCTGGTTCAAAAGAGGTTTAGCCGACAGTCAGCACCAGAGCAGAGAGTCGGAGCAGCCACTTCCCAGCATCACGCTGCAGTCTGTTAACTATATCTCCTCGCCTCTCGCTTTCATCACAGTTAGTTATGTGGTTTGTTTGGATCTGAACTGCAAATGTTCTGTTTCCTCACTTAAGAAAAGTGGCAATGCTTAGTACTCCACAGGGAAAAGTTTATTTAGGCTGACCTGAATTTGCTCATGATTAACATGAAAAACAACTCAGTTTGCATTACGACAGTCTCAAATCGCCTTTTTGGATTATGTTAGTCTTCACTCTGCAGGAAGATTAAGTGCTGAGTCAACCCTGCTACTGAAATGTAAAACAGCCACTAAGGGATGCTAGGTGTCACCAAAATCAAAGTTTGACTTTGTACTGGCAGCAGCTCTAAAGAAGGGCTCTTTCACTTTTACTGTAATTGTATATAATTACCTGTTGTCCATTAAAAGCCATTAGCCATAGATTTAGTCTTTCACTTCCATGTACTTGTTAACCTGCAAGTAAAGAAAAAAACCTCTAAACAGCAACTGCAATGGATTGTGTTCCCCAGAATCTTTATTGAGGAGATATACCTGGAAACTGTACCGAGGACAAACTGGGAAGGTTGTGCAGTTGGAATCTCTCCACCAGAACATAATACAAACATGCAGTATGAAAAAACATAAAAGAAAAAGATTGTCATGTGAATGCATCTATGCAAAAGTCAAAATCCAAAAAGTAGTTTACTGCTTCCTTTTGATAGTTTTGCATTTTAGTTTAACAAAGGCAGTATGTATGCAGCTTGAAGGCGATAGGTTGAATTTAGCCTTTAGTTTAAATGAATGCAGGACGGGCTTCAGGGGAGATTGATGCTATTTCTATACCTCATCCTTGTCACAGTCCATTGATTTGAATTAATGTTATTACAGTCAACTAACTCACATGGAAGAGATTATTATGTGGACGTAGAATACAGTATGTAAAGCATTAATATTTGTCGTCTAGTCTCTGACCTTGTCACTCCTCAAAAGGGAAACACCAAGCTCAGCACAGCAGGGAGTGCAGAGTGATGATACTAACTTCCCCCCTGCGTAATACACTCGGAGCCTACAGCTGGATGTTGGGTTGGAGTTGGGGCTTTTGAAATGCTATCAGCAGCAGCAGCAGAGAGTGACATAGCTTTCAGGCAACTTTCAACCACGTGGTTAATGGTTTGACACAGTCACAGTTGGTTAGGTTTAGGTAACAAAAACTACTTGGTTTCAGATGGGTAAAAGTCCTGTGTTTGTTTGAGCCTTCCATCCACCCCAACCATCTCCTTAGACAGACTTTTTCACTTTCTACAATATGAAGAAAGAGAAAGAGAGAGACAAACATTTCTAGACAGCAGTACCTGGGAAGTTGCTTTCTGTTACAATGAACATTTTGCTATATGTTTGAACATTTACACCACATGGTTCTCTGAAGAAAATTAACAAAAATAATCATGCAGTAGCATTAAGTATTAGTATTAGTAGACTTTTTTTCTGTTGTTTATTACAATCTGCATAAAATGACCCAGCAAAGTATATGGTAAATGGTAAATGGACCTGTACTTGTATAGCGCCTTTCTAGTCTTCCGACCACTCAAAGCGCTTTTACACTACGTGCCACATTCACCCTTTCATACACATTCACTCAGTGATGGCAAAGTCCATCGAACAGAAACTAACATTCATACACACTCACACACCGATGCACAGCATCGGGAGCAATTTGGGGTTCAGTATCTTGCTCAAGGATACTTCGACATGTGGCACCAGGAGCCGGGGATCGAACCCACAACCTTCCAATTAGGGAATGACCCGCTTTGCACCACAGCTGCAGTACAAAGTACAAATACCACGTCTTCAATATGATAAACCAAAGAGGCTGATATACACCGGAACTGGAAACATTTGTGAAATGCTTTTTCTTCTGTTTTTTTCCAGAAGGCTAAATCTTAAATTGCTTTGCTTTACAAAATGGCTGTGTTCAAGCTGTCAAAAAAATTGTTGTAAATGTGGTCTATGTGTGATTGAAGCTTCGCCAGTGAGTACAGTGCCAATTTTCCCTGTATGTCAGTGTCACCTTGAACATTGATGAGTGGCAGGAAAGTCAGACTCTATGGTGATATATAGTGGAGAAAGGAAGCAGGTGGTGAACGATGTCTCGCACACATAGTTGGAAAGAATCGAAAAGCCATTGAAATGTGTACTCCCTCTGAAGGTCACAGAAGGTCATCAAACTCAACTATAAATTCAGTCCTGTCTAATCATAAAGTATCTGGTATTCAACATGCACGGACATGCACCTTTCCGACAGTATAGTTGTATAAGCTGCAAGTGTCTTTACATTGGAATAACACACGTTATTGGTACCCAGAATACCTCAAACTTATGTGTGAAAATGATTCTTGGAAGAGTTGTGTATTTGAAATGATGAGATCTTAGAGAACAATGTCTCACACACACAAAGACACACATAGAATGGAGAATCTGAGTGTCTGCAATGAAGCCATGACCCTCTGCACTCCCTCTGAAGGTGACAGCAGGTCGTCAAACTCTGTCTAATCAAAGTATCTGGTATCCTCCAACATGTGCCTTTCCTACAACTAGGACAGTACTTTAAAAGAATAGTTGTCTTTTCATTGGAATAACACACATTGGTTCCTCAAATACCTTGAACTAATATGTTAAAATGATTCCTAGAAGAGTTTTGTATTTGAAATAATAAGATCTTAGATACCAAACAAGTATTTTATGCTTCACGACAGTGAATATCTGCTTTATAGCTCAGCCAGTCAACTCCATTACTAACCAGGCTTTATAAAGTCTATAATTCTGTCCCAGTTAGGTATTGGTTACATTATGTGGGACTAAGGGGTCTAAACCAGCAAAAGTACACAAGAGTGTTTGGAAAAATCACATACCTATGGCCATGTAGTGTACCTTCTGTCAAGAATATCATATCAACGATACTGAGTGTGGTTCCAGTTGACCCTTCCTAAATTCTGCTCCATTTTGCTCTGTCCTCCAATAACAGTTGAGCGAGCCCCCATTCAGAGTCAACTCTTTCTTTTCTTGTGCACCAGTTTATTTTTTCCCAGGCTTACGAAAGTCATAACCCACCCTACTCTGGCTCTGATTGGCTAGTAATTGTTGCCTTCATTGGTTTGGTTGATTAGGTTTAGGCATGAGAAGTGAGATACTTGGATATACTATGTCCTAGGCTCGCCTATGTTAAAAAGACATTTTAATGTTAAATACTAGGTCAGGTTAGGTTAAAAAGTAAGATACATACGGTATATATACTGACATCTTAAGTTGGTGAATGTTAGCAAAATTTTGCCTAACTAGCTAACTAACACTTGATGTAGTGTAGCTAGTGACCTATTATTTTGCTAACATTAGCTGGCTATCCTAAGATGTATAGGCTATATGTCGTTTTTATCTGCAGAGTTTGCACAGCTTGTACAACCGAGACAGTGGCTTTATGAGGGGGCAGGATCAGCCAATAGTGAATACTTAAGAGTTGAGGGGAATTTCTATCATTTAGCAATCCTTATATTCCTAACCTAATGCATATAGTAATAATACTATGTTTATTGTATAGATTCAGAAAATGACTAATACATATGATTATTTTCACAAATGTGAGCTTTGATCAGACTACTGAAAGAGGTTTAATGCAAAAGCCCTAACATAATAGTTTTGACATTTAACTGTTGCTTATTGTATTACTAAAATAATGTTGTGTGTATGATAAGAAGCAAAGCAGGAATTAGTGTGACAGTCTTATATCGGACTTGTCAACGGATCCTTTGAAACTCTCACCAGATGTGGATGGGATTGGCAACAACAAAAGTCACTTGGGAAGAGAAATTAATAAAGTAGAAAAAAAATAGAAATAATGTGGCAAGACCATGTCACTGTCCTCTGGCCTTGCTTGTGGAGGGAGGCCTCTCCTACAGAGATCAGTTTTCTTATGTCATGTTGTATTATGTTCCATTGTCAAGCCGCCTCATCATATGCTCGTTCCCTCTGGCAGCTCCTGGAGGCTGGTGCTGACAGCAGTCTGCAGAGGAAGAGGAGACAGAGCCAGGACTTCCTGCAGCCCTACATCACTGCCAAGCTGGACGGTCTGCCTGAGATTTTCACTCTGGGTGATGAGAAGAAATACAACGGCTACTACAACAAACCCCTCGCTGGCCAGCAACAGTATCGTTGCTTTGTTCTGGCTGACCTGATGGACCACGAGTCTGTGAGTGACCTCTGTGTATTTATATTGTATGACTGTGAATTGCACCTTTAATGTATTTTAAAGTATCAGTGGTTTAGTAATACCAACAATACCTTAACTACACATTTTAAAAAAGAGAGCAACCCTTCCCCACTAATGGTACATGAACACAGTACTTACAGTACCTTGTGCAGAGGATGGTGCATTTTAGGCCAATCACAAAAGACTCTTTGACCAGTTGCTGTGCAATCACATCATCAGAGCCAGTGTAAAACAGAATAGGTGGGTGTAGCAAAAAGGAGAATAGGTTGGTAATAAACTCCAGTGTTCAGTTTCAAATTTGTGAATTTTGTTCTGGAAAATCTTTTTCACATTGAGTTAGTCTCTCTAAGCTTCAGTACTGATAACCAAGACTTCAGTTTAGTTTCATTCATTGCTTGATATCTAAAATACAGTTAAAATGAGCCTCTATAGGCCTGAGTCATCAGAAAATGCGGCACTGTAAAGCTGTGTCATCAGCTTTACAACACATGTTGAAACGGTCCAACTTCAGTGCCCACACTACTGATCAATCGTTCGGTTACAATGTGTTGCTCACACTGAACCTAAACACTGATCTCCCAATCAAATTGCTCAAAAAATTGAGAAGGCAGCATTACTTGGAAAGCAAGATGAAAGAAAGAATAATACAAAGCCGCAGATGGCTGGGAGCTATGTGGAGGTTCAGTTTTTATGTCTTCTTTGTATCACAACACAGTCTCAGTCAAGAATACAGTCACTACATGTGAAATACTGTTCCAGTAATACTTAAATAATCTCCCTTCAGTTTATATCTTTGACAGCAGCCACATGGGATATCAGAACTGCTCAAACTGCAGACAGCTGACCATCATATCTGACCTACCAGAAATCCATCTGATCATCCAACAGCCAGACTGTCGAACATTCAGGAGTTCATCTCTAAATAATTTAATTAATTAATTAATTGGTCAAACACCAGCCGGTCTAGTGGAATTCTGATTCTGAAATAAGTCCGGGACATACAAGTCATGGTTAAAATCTTTTTTTAATTTGTCCATCATCTGTCCGTCTTTACAACAAGCTGTTTATCCACATGATAACATACAAAAAGTAGATACAATAACAGGGACCCCTGTTCAAGATATATAGCATTTCAATGAATGCAACATTTGTGAAACTTGTACATACTTAATGTTAGTGAAACTTGCTGGTCTGTGGTGAGGTCACTGTCTGTGTTGTTGTTGCACTGGACTGCATTATATATGGGTGTTCTTGTTATTTTCTCCACACCATAATGTTTTGGTGCCCTTGGCAAAACCATGCTCTGGTAATAATACAAATGGATTCCCAGAGGGAGTCTGACCAACCTAGCGCCAATTGTTTTATGTCATGTACTCCTTCTGCATTCCTATAGCAGTAAAATACAGACCCCAGCTACCTGTTACTGCCCGAGAGAGAGGCAAATTTGAGTATTAGACTGGATTAAGCAAAGTTACAGTCTGCCTTGTATGCAGCAGTGCAGTGTCAGGGAAAAGTTCACCTAGACCAAGGCTGCGGTTGACACCTCTTGCCCTTTAATAAATCATAAACACACTGAGGATGAGGGGATGGGTGGGCCAACGTGTGTAGGGTTTTAATATGTGGATTTATTGTTGTTTTGCCTGGCCTTTTAAAATAGTTTTCATAAAACTATGTAAAAACTTTTTTGATTTCTACCTTGCGGGTCTCATTTTTGTACTTACAACTGCAGTGAGTGTCTCACACATTTTCCAAAGGCCTTGCATTGCTGAAAAAACAGGGCCGAGTTTGTCGTGGATGGCATTGTTTTTCCTCCCTGGTGTTTTCTATCTGTGGAACAAAAGAGCAGCCCCTCAGGCAACGGTACACACATGCCAGGCACGTCGCAGTGATGCGAATCACGTCCTTGAGTCATGCATGCATCTGCAGGTATATCTCTCAGCCAGTGAAGCCAGGATCCCTGCTGTCACTCACAGGCATCTCCCTTCCAGAGCATAGCATCTTCAGGCTGCCTCTCTATTTCAAGTGCTTTTGTTCCTCAGATCAGTCATTTGCCCTTGTGGCATCGTCATTTAAATGTGTTAAGATCTGACGGGGGGGGGGTCCAGAATGGCATATGTGGCTCCTGGCTTACTACCTTTAATAGTGTTAGTGTAGTCATAGTGTTTGGAAGTGCATTCATAGATAACTTTTTCATGCACAACAAACACAGATCCCGACAGAAAAGACATACGATCACTTTCATACTTACACGAATACACAATGGCAGAGAAGAATTTGCAAAATAGACTTTGAGTTACTAGTTTGGCTTCTGACTTCAGTTCCTATGGCTTCTATTTTTCTGGAACTTCATCTGAGTAGAAGCTGGTGACTAATCGCCAATGAGTGCTTTGCTAAAGAACTGGCTCTCAGCCAGCCAGTTATGTATTTATTTGCAGTTTAACAAGCTACTCATTTTTCACATATATGATACAAACTTAACATAGAAGTTGAGAAATGTGTGTGTGAGTAGGAGTAATCTGGTTCATAGAAGGTAGGTTGAACCAACTCATAACCAGCACTAGCACCAGCCCAGAACTAGCACTTGGTTTGTAGTGCTGGAAAGGAGGGTTTATCAGAGGAGTGTTTGGTCTCTTCATTTGAATACCTCTGTGTACCTTTTAATGTCCAGTCAGGTTAGCATTGATCAGCTGATGTTACTACAATTAAACTTTCCGAGGTCAAACACACAAAACTGCAATTACATGCGGCGGTTTCTCCTCATGCATCGGTTTGCTCCACCCACCCACTATTACAGCTTTTACCAAGAATTTTGGACAACACTTGTTTCATGGTGTTAAGAACAGAGCAGCAGAGCCCAGATTCAGTAAATGACACTCAGTGGAACGTGATTCAAGCCTGTACAAAAATAGAAACCTAATCACATTCATTGAAAACAGGGGAAGTAAGCTTAGCTTTTATTGCTACTGCAAAGCTGCTGGCAGGGTAGCCACGAGAGGAGAACGGGAGAGTAGGAATGAAAAGAAAGGGGGGCTGGAGACTGAAGCAAAAGGGCACTGCGGCTTTCTGTGGCCCCCACTGCTCGTAAACAAGCTGGGATGTGTGAAATTGGATAAAAGAAAAAGGCCATATAAACAATGTGATCACTTACAGCAGAGAGAGGAGGGGGGTAGAGCAGTGAACGGCAGCTTCCCCTGAACGCAGAGCCCTGTGGGAGTGACAGAGAGGTAAGAAGAAGAGTGAGAGGTGGGGAGAGAGAAAGAGGGAGCTTAATGGGAGGATAAGATAGGTGGTGGTGGGCGGGGGGTGCACAGACATACTTGAGAAGGCGAGAAATGCTGCAATGATTGGAGAGAGAATGACTCGGATGCTGGAATGACTTTTTGATGTAGGAGGGAGAGAGATGGTGAACTTTAAGGAGAAAAAACAGAGAGGAAGAGAGAAGGATGGCAGTGCAGAGAGGACTGGGGATTGTGGGAAACACAGTGAGCCTTGTGGATAGTATCCAGTTTGTCGCAGATAGATGAGCTGTGAGCGGAAGGTTCCGACTAAGGTGGAAATCTTTGGAGTTCTGGGAAATAACAGAGCTGTCAAAATACATTAGAATCAGACCTTGTTTCTGCTTATTCTGTCAGTCTCTTGCTCTTCTTTGGGGGAGATTATGGACAGTGAAAACAATAACAAAATGTTCATCCACCCACTGCTATTAAAATGACTTTACCTCTTTGCACAACCCACCTCCGCTCTTCAGCTTGCAGACATAGCAGCAGTACATTTTCTACCCCTGAAGGATTACTATCCATCAGGTAGTGCAGCTGAGATTGATCACTTCCAAACTCCCCCCCTGAGATTATCTAAATATCTTTTAGAATATGCGTCTGTGCCGTCTAAAGCTCATTTTTCAACAAAAAAAAAAGTTTTCTGAGTCGTAGGCAGTACTTTGCTAAAACTGCCAAAAAGTACTACAGAGAACAGAAGGCTGAAAGAGTGGAAGAGACAGATGAGCTGAACATGTTATCTAGCTCCAGACCTTTTTAGCTGTTAAAGCTTCAAGCTTTCTTCTATAGACTATTTGTAACAGAGTTGGAAAAGTTAGCTGCACCCAGTCTTCTTACAGCAATGTTAGGAGGCTGCATGTCAGTGTGTGTGAGAGCAGGGAGGCTCTCACTTTGATAAAAGAAACACAAGGTCCAGTGTGTAACATTTAAGAGGATCTATTGTCAGAAATGGAATATAATATTCATAGGTATGTTTTCAGTATTGTATAATTACATGAAAAAAGGAATTGTTGTGTTTTTGTTACCTTAGAATGAGCTGTTTTTATCCTCTACTACAGAGTTTTTCATGTTAAATGCCATATTTCTACGGTAGCCCGGAACGGACAAACCCTGGCTCTAGATGAGCTGTTTTGTGTGTTTATGTGCTTACAGTGTGTATAAGTGTGTGTGACCCCCAGGAAGAATAGCCCATGCTTATGCTGGTGCAATGGGGATCCTAATAAACAAACAAAAATAGGGCCTTTTGTGTTTGTTGGGAGTTTCGCGGGCATCTCTTTAGCCCTTGGTTGAGTCCTAGTCCACACACATTCACACACCGAAACACAGCATTGGGAACAATTTGGGTTCAGTATCTTGCTCAAAGATACTTTGACATGTGGCAGGAGGAGCCGGGGATCGAACCAACAACCTTTTGTTAGTTTGTTAATTAGAGGACGACCGGCTCTTCCTCTGAGCCACAGCCGACCACAATGGTCCTTTACTAAATTGCATTGGTTTGTTTATTTATTTATTCATTCTAACTTGATCCTTGTGTGTTTTGTGGACTAATTTCACTTTAACCTGGGTATGCTTGACTACATTCTGCTTTAGCTTCTCCAGAATTTTCAATTAAATAAAATTTTATTTTTCTCACCATTGCAACAGTAGCTGCAAGAGAAGAAGAAAAAACTCCCCAGGGGAAATTCAAGAAAATTAAAGATTTGC